AAATCGCAGAGCATGAAACCACATTATATATAAATATGCATTTCAGAATATTGCGAGATATATTGAGTTAGAAGGTTAGTGTAATCGAGTTTTCATTATTGTTATGTAATGTCAAACAAATCGTTTTTTTTTTCGGTTTATTTGATAAATTAAAATGCATCCATCAACTATGTTAATTTATTACTATTCGAATGTCAAAGCACATGTAATGAAAAAGCAGTAAAAGTGCACAAAATTGGCAACAATGATTGCGACTTAAGCTGGAAAAAAAGAAGGTGCGTACTACCACACCAGCTCCGCAAGTGTAAACACAGAATTAAAGAAAAGAAAATTTGACATCTAAGAATGATCATTTTCAAGCACTAGAAGCAAAATAATTATTTTTTTTCAAACATATCTGGTCTGATAGCAATCAACGCTTGCTAAATTCGAGTCAATTGTTTAAAAGATTTGTCCTTCTTAAATTATTTAGACTAGAAAGCGCTCGAACTAATCAGAAAAATTCAGGGACAAAAATTATACTAAAAAAAAATTTGTTCAAACTCATGACTTCAATTTTCTACCAAGAAGAATATGATTCAAGCGAGAGGCCCCTCAAGATGCATCCAGAAAAGTTTTGAACAAAACATGGAAAACAATTTGAAAGACAGAGGCAATGCAGAGCTTCACACCACTTGCCATGTAAGCTGAACATAGCTGTGCCAGCTAGCAGACAGGAAAATAAAACCACCAAGTCCAAAACAATTGATAGAAAAAATCCAAAAGCCACAACTTAAAAATTCAAAATGTCTTGAATTATGTTCTCTGCGCGGAAAACACGTCCAGAACTACAATTGACGGCAATTAATGAAAATTCTAAAAATATTTAACAAGCGACAACTGAGCCGACAAAACTTGAATAATTTACCGTAAAACCGAAAAATAACTGTTGTCATAAATATTTTGAACTACAAAATTTTTGAAGGAATCAAGAGTAAAAAAAACTTGAAAATGTTGTCTGGCATGATGTGATTTTTACTTACAACACGTACAGACTACACATTCGACGGCGTTCAAGGGAAAATCAAAAACACTCAAAAAAATTGTTGTCATGATGAAAAAAAACTTGAACTATCAATTTTATTCCGAGATTTTTAGCATTTTGTGCGCTTCGCAGGAAAACATACCAAATATGGTTCCCTTGAATGACCCAAAATTAGGTTAACAAGCTGATTAAATAAAAGCCGAAATCATTTCGTCTGCAAAATTCTTAAGGCAAAAAAATCAAAAAAGAAAATCAAAAAAGAAGGAAAAATACAAAGTCAAAGCTAGTAGAATTTCAAAATGCAGGAATAAATGAAAACATAAACAACAACTACAATTAAACCTGCCTACAGCAAGGAAAAATTAAACGATGTCTCAACTAATCCGACAAACATAAGCAGACAAACAATAAGCCAACAATTTTTTTTTTGAAACTGAATTTTTCGCGTTTGAAAATAAAACTGGTCCGTGTCAGATTCGAACCCAGGAATTTTTCCGTCCCATGTCATGCGTATTTGTTGTCTCCTGACTTGGTGTGCCGGAGACACTTGAAATCTTGATTTCATTGTGAACAAGATACCAAGTGATTCTGTTAAACAAGTTTCAACCCAAAAAAGTCTTTAATCCGATTTGATAACGCTTGCTTAACTTAATCCGATTTGATAACGCTTGCTTAACTTAAAGTTTCTCCGCTAAATCATTTGAAATTCCTAAAATTTTACGCGGAGGCGAAGCTGCACAAGGAGCAAACGCCCAAGTAGTTCTAGAACGGCCAACAGTGGCTCCAAAAAAAAAAAGCAAAAAAAGGAAAACACAACTCGACCTAAATGTGTGTATTCACGATGTTCATTGACAATTTTAAAAAAAGTATATAGTATTACAAGCATGATTATTTGAACCAATTAGCTTATATCAACTCAAAGTTGAACAAAATTGCTAGTAACAAGGGAAATTTTGGAATGCTCCGACAGGCCTAATAAATTCCAAGGAATAAGTCATTTGTTTAATAAATTATTTTAAAAACGATAAAACTTTAGGTGTTCCAGTTTGAGTCGTGTATAGAATTAATAAAAGCAATTAGCTGCCTCAATTCAAATTGGAACGATTTTGTAGTGAGATAATACGCCACGCTTAAAAATTTTTAATTGAGCAATTTAGACAAAATCGTGGCAGGTTACTATAGTGGAGTGCACACACGGCTGGGCTCATGCAAAAAAAGCAATCGATCCCCGAGGGAACAGAGTTTAGTCAATTTGATCTGAATAAAAACCACTCAAATTACAAAATGATCTAAACAGCACCAAGCAACGCACTAATAGTTGTAATTTAATCAACTTTTGAGCCAGATTTTACGGATTTTATTTGTTTGGCTCGGGAAAACAATACCTTTCGAATGACAAAAAAATTCCTTCAAAACGTTCAGTTATAAAGTCAAAATTTGTCTGGAGAAAAGAAACCACCCTAAGCACAAATACTCCGATTATCTATTATAAGGTATAATTAACTTGATATGCTTAGTTTGACAGACGCAGACTCCATCGTCTTCGAGAGATAGAGAGAGAGGAGAACTGCTAAAATTACCATGGACAACAATGCCATCGACAAATTCAAAAAAAACCAATTCAATATAAAACTTTGCTGAAAATATCATGATTATGATTTTGTTGAGTTGTTTTCCATGCTTTTATCATTTTGAACCGAGTTTCACATTTTCAAGTAAGAAGTTTGATCAAACTGAGCCAAGAAATTAGGTCAAAAGTGAACTTTTGAGATAGATTTTTTTTTTAGATCTGAAATATCCAAGAAAAACAAAATTTAAAATTCGAATGATTATTGAACTAGAGGCCACAATATCGAATTGATTGCAGCTCATTTGATTCAATGAAAAAGAAAACCAACAAAATATGAACTCAATAATTTTTTCATTTAAAAAACTTTAATTGAAAACAAAATAAAGATTGGTATTGAATTTTTCTCATCTCATACGAAAAAATGGCTGAAAACAAATCATAAAAAAACTTTCAAAATTTGAAGAGTTACTTTAATAGCAAAAAACTTGAAATTTCACAGATCGACGCAGTACTGAGAACAGTGTCACTCATGCTTAACATTGAACCCATTAAATATAACAAAGAAATGAAAACATCTAAATTTTTCAACTCGAACATAATGGTAAAGAAATTTTTTACACAGGCGAAATTGCACTCCGCATACACAAGCAAAAATATGACCAATAACGCTGCTGGGAAAAACCGAATGAGTAAAACTTTGAGTCTACAAAACTTCTCAAGTGACGCACGCCAATTGCGAGTCTACATAATTGCTAAATGACGCAACCCAAATATGAACCAATAGCAGTACCAGTAAATTTGAAAATAAATTTACCAACTAACATGCCTCAATTTCGGACCCTGCCCGGATTCGAACACTTTTATTTTGTTGCAGTCTCCTTCCCCACCTCTACGCTACAGATTCATGATACTTTGAAGCTAGAAATCTATTTGTAACATAATAGTCTGTCTTAATATCCTTAGCATTGGCTGTACTTGACAACTGATTATTGATTAAAATGAACACATTTTGTCGCATCAATATTTGCGAATTAGGTTGAAAAAAAAGAGTTTATACTATCACACAAGCTTTGCTGATGAAAATAACCAATAGACGAAAAAATTTAATAGACCGGTGTTTCACGTAAACTTATCCATCGGTAGATTAAAATTGGAAAAATGAAAACATTAATTCCTTTAACATAAGCAAGCTTTAAACTAATCAACACCTTTAGTTAGGATTTTCGATGAAAGCTCTCTCAACATTGTTGATTTTCGTTATTGTTAGTTGAAAAGTGCTCAACCGTGACAATAGAAACTGCATAAGAAACAAGACATTCGAAAAATTATGAAAACAGTTTCATGTTAAATTCGGTTAAAAAATCTAGGTTGATTTTACTATATACAATGGTTGAAAACCTAGAGAAACCTAAGTTTATACTGCAAAAAAATTACACTGCAATCCCATGACACGACCTTACGGCTTTTAGGGTAAAGTAGTTACATCCCCACCTCTCAATCGAATGATCGGAGGTTTGAGGCCCACCATGATCCGTTGCTGAAGGCTGAAGAAACATTACCCAGCCCAGAAAAGTTGCATGTAATTCTTAAGTTGGGGCGCAACAGCGTCTCTCCGTGAACAGCTGAACAGCTCGTTTGTTGATCTTTTCCCTTGTGGATAAATCAAATTGGAACCTAGAGCAGAAGCTTCATCACCAGGCTTTTTTACATCTCAAAAACAGAATTGAGTCAATTCAGGAGTTGAAGATTTACCTGCTGTTTTTGATAAATGCTCCCAATCAAAGACAACAAATCGAAAGTTTGAGAACATATCATCTTACTCAATGTCTTGTGGTCTCATTTACTTATAAACAACAGAAGCTTGCAAGTTCGGCGATCGTTATTGTTATTTAGTTAGAAAAATAGAAGTTCTAAAACGAAAATCATTACTTTAGAAAAAAACATCCTTTTTAGCTGATGGTTGATATAAAACAGAGATAGGAAAAATAAATTCCAAATTAGACCAAAAACTAAATTAAAATCTTTCATTTTTATTAACTCCGAAGTAGCAACCACTTGGCATCATTTGATTCAAACAATCAACTCGCAAATTGTCAAAGGATGAACAGATAATAATCTGCATAGAAAGAAATGCATGATTGATCGCAAAGCGATGACTGATTATTGAGATATTCTAAGGCACAATTATGATGAACTCAGAATTCAGTGCAAATGAAACTGCCTCTCTACTGAAATTAACACATAAGGCAAGGGGTTTAATGATTGTACCATCTCTTAACTATCAAACATAAATTGCTAGAAATTAATTGCAATCAATCAATTGATCGTTTACTTTCGCAATTTTAAAAATTGATTTTTACATGGCAATTAATTATAGTTTTCAATTCCAATTGCAGTTCCGCTAATGTTTCGTCAAAGTTGCAATGAACTAAAAGAAAAACGGAATTTTCAGTCCACTTTTTCTAAGCAGAATTTATCTGCGCCCGCAGACAAATTTTTTACATAGGACCTATAGAGCTGTCTACAAAAGAACCTTAATGTACGAACCCATTCCTCAAAAAACCCCGGATCCACCCCAGCAACTTTTGATTCTATAGTTTTGTAATTACAGTTAAACGTTGAGTTGCAATTAATTTTTGATACTGACCAAATTTATGTTCATGATTCATTTTCGACTTCACTTTTGGGCCATTTAATCTCCAGCAATTTTAAGCAATGCAGTTAGTAATCTCCAAGATCCAACGAAGCTCTTTTAGAGCCTCGACACACAAGAGCTGAAATGTTTAGCGTCGGAGATACCATAATTTAAATGCTAAATTTGAAATGCTTATTTTAAAGCTACGGATCTAATTAAGGCAGGATTTTACAAATAAATTACATTATTACGATCATAAGAGTAGATTTCACAAACTATTAACGCCAAATAGAGTTAACAATTCTCATTATTAGTCCTAAGTTTCTGTTTATGGCTGTGCGAATTCTGAACTGTTAAAAAATTGTTCTGTTTATTATTACCAACGTTACTCGTTGAACTGTTTTCTTTATTGTGACCTTTTGTGGTTTTCTTGTTTTTATAGACATTAATAGCAGACAGTATCTGTTGCCGATTGGTTGTTTGGCCGATTCCCATTTCGTCTAAATCGTCTTCGGTCAAACTGAACAGCACCTCGCGGTCTACCTCTTGCTGGTCAAAAATGTGCTTGTACTTCATCAACGCTAGCTCGGATAAAATCTGACTCATCTCCGAAGGATTCGTACTTTTAGTTCCGTTCGAAGTTGAGTTCAAATTGAGGCGATTCGAGGACATCACATCGTCGGCAGTGTTGACTGAACTCTCAAACGAGGACCTCCCGTCGGTTCCTCCATTTCGAGGACTAGACCAATGTCCACTTCCCATCGCCAGGTGTTTTACGTTACTCATTACAGGCGAACTTGGGATCCCAGCATCATTCGAGGGTCTCGGAGTAGCACCGGTTCTGCTGTTTTTGGGGTTTAAGTTTGTACTGTGCGACCAATTAACTTCGCCACTAGAAATACTGCTACCGAAAGAACCAATTCTAGGCCGCCCATGAACACCACTATTAGTCTTGCTTCCCTGGTCAATTTTATTGGAAACACCAATATTATTATTGTTCGTTGAAGACTGAAAAATATTTAACTGATATCCGCTTGACGTTGACTGCAATGGTAAAGGTGAAGCCACATGCTGAGAATTACCAAAATTGGGTTTAGTTTGAAATAATGATTGGTTCACGCGCGATGACGTAAGCAGAAGGTGCTGCTGCCTTTTGCTCATATCGCCCGAAGATTGAGGTGACATGTAATTAGAGTGTTCGGAAGCTTCGAATTTAACAGGTTGATTCGAATTACTACTTCCACTATTGCTTAGATTGTGGTTTGATTTCTTCGGCTGCAAAAACTTTGGCGGATTAGCTTTGATAGGTTTGTGGCGCCGGGGATAGCCGGATGAATTGCGGTCGAACCCTTTAGTAAAACTGGATTTGTGTCTGGACAATTGCATTTTGCGACTTGAGTCTATTGACGAAGGCACGGGGTGAAAAGGCGGCAAAACTGGGGCAAGCTGTTTCGTAGTCTGCACATGTATCGGCTCATTCTGCATACTGTACATAGACGGCGTGGAGAAAATTCCACTATCTAATGCTGAGTCATCTCCAGGGTTGAAGTGCATGTCACTTCTAGACGGTTGGTCGTGGATCGAAACCCAGCCTCCGACCTGGGGTTCAATGAAACTACTCTCGGCATCATTAATCGGCATGGCACTCACTCGATTCATGTCAGTTCTTCCAATTTTGATGTCTTTCAGCTTGTCAGTGAATTTGTTCCACAAATTCTTAACAGAGCCGGAATTTCCAGTTTTTAGATTTCCATTCGTAAACGCATCTTCGTCTTGCTGTCGATTCAGACGATTTATAACAGGTGTGCTATTTGTTCTATGAGATGCTTTTAGTCGATCACTGGTAGATAAATATTCAAAATCACGAGCCGAATTCAGAGCACTCGAATATCCCGAAGCTCTACTGTCGGCTCCGTTTCCGATGTTACTCGCCAAGAGTGAAATGATATCGTTTTCTATGATGTCATCCATTAAAGATGCTATATCGAACGCACTTATGTCCTGGTGCGACCGAATTGAAACATCGGCGCCTGATTCTATCAGATACCTGACGATATCCGCTTTGTTGTGATACGTAGCTTGCATCAAAGCGGTCCAGCCCGACAAGACATCTCGCTCGTCCAGATTGGCTCCTTTGGATACCAGAAGTCGCACTATGGATAAATGCCCAGCAACGCATGCGTACATGAGAACTGTAGCTCCGTCTTCTGTGTTGCGTGCGTGGATGAGGTTCGGATCATTTTCCAGTGCATCGCGTAAGCTTTTGAGGTTCCCTTGAACAATTAAAACGACTTATCAGTTGCAAATAAGGCGTGCATACTTTTTGAATCAATTAATTAATAAGAAAAATATATATACTACAGAAGGCCGTTTCAGAAAAATTTCCATTTCGACGCAGTTTCTGTTTCAAGAAAAAAGATTAAAATGCGTTTTTTTAGCTTAAAAACAATCAGTTTTTGTGCTGTTCTTAAAAATGAGGCCTATATTACGTCGGGTGAATTTTTTTGATCTCTCGGCTTTTAATTTGTTCACATACCTTGTTTGGCCATTTCTATGATCGGATGCTCAATAGGGTGAACTTCGACAGCCAATGCTGCGGACTGCTTATCTGTTTTGGCCTTCAAGATGGCCTTGCTCTGTCTACTCTTGCACATGGAGGCCAGATCCAGGGCAGTCCTGTTGTTAGCATCCACTGCTGTCGTGTCAGCGCCTTCCTTAAGGAGAATCTCAACCAGTTGAGTCCAGTTGAAAATCGCACTCAGACTCAAGGGCGTCTGGCCATTGTAGGAATCTTTCATTTTTAAAGCAACTGAATGAAACGCGTTCATAAGTTCTCTCAGCGCTTCTACATTACCCCGGACACAGGCGGCCAACATTGGGTTAAAAAAGGATTCCTGTGACTGGTGATTGTTGGGTTCTTTCTTCGGTGGTAAAAACTGAGCCCCCGATTCTATCAAGAGTCTCACTATGCGTTCACTGCCGTTGAAGCACCCAAGAGTCAACGCTGTACAGTTGGACCTATTTACAATATTAACATCGGCTTGTGATTGAATCAGTGCCGAAACTACATCGCTATGTCCCGCATAACATGCCTGCATGAGTGGGGTCCAGCCCTCGTCATTCAGTTGGTCCAACGGAGCTCCTCGTTTCAGAAGACACTTCACGATATCCAGGTGTCCCGAGGCACATGCATAGTGCAACCCAGTATTGCCTCCGTCATCTTCCGAAATGGAAGCGAGAATTGTGCTGTCCTGGTCTAGACAGCTAATGACGTCATTCAACCTGCCCTTGGCACAAGCGACGTGGAGACTGGAAACGGACACTTTTCTGTTGCACTGTGACTGGGGGAAGGAGGTCATTTGGGGTCACGTTACCATTTCACACTGAAACTGAACTAGAAAATCAATTCAGGTGCAAGATGAACTATCAGAAAAATCCCATATCTATGTTTATTTTTTGTAACTAGGAAACCTTATCCTGACGGAGCTTTTACGACAAAATTTTAGCTTCCAGCTCATATAGTCGAGCATAAATAAACTGCTCTACAAAACTCATTCATTTTTCAAAAAAAAATTTGCTAAAAACTAAATTCTCTAACAATTTATCTATAGCACCACCGAGGATTAAAAATATGATAGGATATTTGGCACCATGTTTGAAGACCTCCTTTCCATGTGTGTTACCGTAGTTTCCACTTTGTTTCGTTTGGTTACGATAGCAAAAATTGTTATCCAACACGTCTTGAAACTCGCGGAAGACCGGAGACTTTGTTTGACTTAAGTGTAGATGCTTGGTAGCCATTAGCCCTTTTATTGTGACGTTTTAAGTTGACTTTTATTGTTCAATATTGACTTCTGAGGTCAAAGTGGTCTTGGTGAATGGAGTGCCGCTATTGCTTCTGATATGGGTGGTACATTGCTCTTGCCCGGGTGTCCGTAGTAGCTCAGTTTGCTATCCCTCGTTTGGAGATGGTTGTATGATGTGCCTATCTGGTAGCCGCCGGACACTTCCAACTGACTCAGCACCTATCACAACATTTGCTTATAGTACTTGAGGCTTTTGAAATTGTGTTAACGCAACAAAACTCTTGATAAGAACACAGCCAACAGACAGTTGGAAAAGAGTCAATGATCGCAAGTAAACAGAAAAAAACGTACAGACTTACTTAGAGAAAAAAAATTCAACTTTCGAAATTTAAAGAAAAGATAGATGGCCTTAAAACTGTTTGAATTTTTATGATTGAAACTTTTTTGATACAATCAAAACAAGTTGAGAAAACTGGATAAAATTTTTATTTCGCTGGGAAATTCGATAACTAAACTCCAGATTCGAAACTAGAAATCGATCACAATTTTTGGCGATCTTTACAAGTTTGCCTTCCTTCAAACAAAAAAGCACTGAACTGAAAGAAAAAATTAAAAATCAAACCGCGAAAAATCAAAATTGAAGTCTTTACCTAAAAAAAATAATTGCGACCTATATAAGAGTTTGAACTAATTTAATCGAAAATTAATAACATCCTTCAAACTGCAATGATATAAATTTAAACACAAAGGCCATGACAAGATTCAAAAAAGCGATAAAACGACAAAAAAGCACCTTTATGAAGTGAAATACGAAAAAAAGAACGCTCGAAATAGTAAAACTTTACTCCGTATCGGATCTGAACCTGCAAACTCGAGATTTGGAGTCTCACGCCCTGCCCTATCTACCACGCATGCTTAACAATTGGCAAACTAGTCACAAATCGATCAGATACACATGCTAATAAATTGCTAATGCCATGCTGCAAAAGTAGCACCAAATACAAATAGACACAATTTTTCATGCAATAAATTGGAGTCTAACAAATTAAACGCTTAACTTAAACATAATGGGGTTGTAGGCTTTTCAGTTTACTCCATGCAAAGTTAGTGTGGATGCGTTTGATTTGTTAGACTCCAATTTACTTCAAAAAATTGCGAGATCTAGTGTTAGAAATTTTCGGAAAAAACGTTGATTAGGAGTCTCAAGTCCTCGCATCTGCGCCTGGGTCGCTTGGAAGTAAAGTAGTGGCCCAGCTAAAGCTGGATCTTCCTATTCTAATTAGTTAAACCATATATTGTACTGACACGAAAATGCGTAATTTTCGACATTTCAATAAAGCCTAAGTTTCTCTGCTTAAGACTTCTCACTCTTTCAATTGAAGTCTTTATCTCAGATTTGGCCAGGTAGTTTTGAAAAAAAAAATAAAGTGAAAAAATCCAAAAACTGATCAAAAATTCGAAAATTTGACTTTTCTTAAATCAAACTTTTAAATATATCGAACAAACACTTTCCAAAAAGCCGGCAAAATTTCACAAAGTGGACATTTTTTAAGGCCAGATTTTCTTGAAAACACAGGGCAAAGCCGCTTGCGCAGAAATAATTGCATAACTGATTTTAGACTAAGTGCTTAACCTCAAGTTTGGCGGGGTAAGCCCATTTTTGACATGTTAAATTATTTAAAAAAATCTTTCATGTCAAAAATGGGCTTTTTTGAGGCAATAACTTTTGTTTTACTGATTTTAGGGAAAGGCCGCTTAAAGAAGGGAGATTTCCAAAATTTGTTATTTTGATTGACACCTTTATCTCAGATCTGTACATTTAATATTTTTGAAAATGAAAAAAAAATCAAAACAAACAGGCCAAAAACCCCCTTCTGAAAATTTCGAAGGCCGTAGAACGTGGCGTAAAATTAAAAGATACTTGCGAAATATGCAATCACATAGAAGTTCAGCCGATTTTCCATTGGTACCATTTTTTTTCAAAATCAGTACATTAGTGTTTGAGATTTGAAATTTCTGCGAAAAGTGCAAAAATTTTTCAAAGCGTTGCAAGGAAAAAAACAAATCCCATGCATTTTAATTATACATAATTTTTTAAACAGAACCTAAGACTAACCGAAAATAAAACAGCAACATATGAAATCTTATGTTGACTTTTCTTAAAACAGCAAAAATACCCCAATTGAAATCTTTCGAAGGCCGTAGAACATGAGGTAAATTGAAAAAAGACTAGAGAGATATGAGACCTAGGGGCGCAATAGCGTCAAACTAAAAAAACTAGAGCAAATGAAAAAAAAAATCAAAAAAAGTAGGCCGAAACCCCCCCTTCTGAATCTTTCGAAGGCCGTAAAACGTGGCGTAAAATGAAAAGAGACTTGGGAAAAATGTCACATAGAAGAGCAGCCAACTTTCTGTTGTTACCATTTTTTTTAAAATCAGTACATTATTGGTGTTTGAGAAAAACTGAAATTTCTGTGAAAAGTGGAAAAACTTTCCAAAGCGTCGCAAAGAAAAACGAAAAACAACAAACCCCATACATTTTAATAATACAATTTTTAAACGGGGCCTAAAACTAGCCAAAAATAAAACGTCAACATATGCCATCAAATTATTTATGCTTAAGTGAGCTTAAATATGATTAAAATGAACTAGTTTTATTCGCGACTCAGGTTAGAAAAAAAAATTCTTCGCTTACGTAATTATTGTCATGTTGTTTGAAATAAATAGCTTTTTCGGTTTATTTGATGAATTAAAAATGCATCAACTAAGTTATCTCAAAAATAGACCCCCCAATAGTTAAGATCCACCACCCCAACGCTTATTTTAAATTAAATTTGCTAAGCGCTGCGTGTAAAATGCTCTAATCTGATTGGCTGAAAAATCGAGCTCAGAACCAAGTTAACATCCTCCCCCCTAAAGGCATTTCGGGGGGGGGGGGGGGAGGATGTTAACTTGGTCCATACTTACTGTTAGAATTAGCCACATACTGTGCCTCGGTTTTTATTACGGACCACAGCATTTTTGAGGGACCAAACAAGTGAAATAGTACCCAAAGGGGGGAACGCTTTGGGTCGACAGGGAGTCGAATTCCTGAGGGCGGGAAGCGTCCCCCCACCTCTCTAAATCCGCTGGCGGGGTGAGGTACTATGCGTCAAGACCACAATACCTCGCCCTTAAACTGAATTAGAGAGAGGATATTAACTTGGTTCTGAGCTGGAATTTTTAGCCAATCATAATCGAGCATTTTACGTGCAGCTTTGCAACGCTAAGCAATTTTAATCCAAGGAGGATCTTAACTTGGTCTATTAAGGGGGTGCGGGGGGGGGATTGTGGTTAACTTGATTGCAGCTTATCCGCCCCTTACCACGATGATTTGTCTGTGAAGTGGGGGGACGGAATCGAAGGTGGTCAAGTGTCCCCTGGTGGCGACCACATTGTAGCTCTCCATACAGTCATACTTGATCTGCAGATACTGTTCTGGGTCCCTGTTCTCAATTGCCACTATCGCCCCCGACCACCCTCCACTCACTCTGTACACTGAACAGCCAGTGCGGACTGAAACACACACAACTTATTAATTATTGCCCCCTGGTCGGGTCTTAAAACTCAAACGACTCAATTCAATGCAAAACATCTTTGGTTATGTGATATGGAATCAGTGATGTAAACAAAAACACCAAAGTTCCGATTGTTCAGATGCAAAGTTCAGATTGTTGCCCCCACTCGAAAGTGAGGTTGAGAAAAAGAGATATGGTCTCAAGTTGACCCCCTGCCCGGATTTCCATAGTAAAAGGCGATGGAAGTACGCGAGAGTGACAGGGAATCCAGAGTGTAATAATCAATTAAATGGTAGCTTAATTCCAATCATTCTCATAATATTATAGTACTGTCGTAAACCAAGTTCCATTACACTAACTTCAATATTTCATACAATTGACATTTTTCCAGTCTCTATATGTGACGCATTGCATAATACTCAAAGAACTAACTTGGATGATTCTACAACCTGGTGAATAAATGAAAAGCTTAATTTATAGAGCATATTGTGAATAAATGAGTGACGGCACATGAATTGAGCGTACTGATAGGGATTTTCTGTCATGTCCTATGACAATGGCCATGCATGGACTAATCGATATTGGTAGTATTTCTCGACAATTTGATCACTTTTACATATGCATTTTATCTGTGCAGTATATCTATGCATTATATCAACGCCACAAAACGAGCTATTCATTCTTTTTGAGAAACATTGCTTTTGTTTGGCATTATGTTACACTTAAAGTTATAGTAACCCAAGGTGCCATGGTGTAGTGGTTATCACATCTGCCTAACACGCAGAAGGTCCCCAGTTCGAGCCTGGGTGGCATCACTTTTTCCTTTCCAACATCATTTTTAACTAATGTTTTCTCGACTTGAGAATTTTCGGTACTACTACGAAGAGTGTTGTTCCCTTCAAAATAACCAGGTCCCTTGAGAATGGGACACGTAGAGCTCTCGGCCTTCCAGTTCCCCCCTTTCAAATTCAATTTTGAAAAGTCTATTTAGCGTTGTCACAATGCAATGAAATTTGGCGTGGTGAACAAATCAATTCTGAACAGATTTGTTCTTCATACATTACAGCGTAACATCACGCATTTAGCCGTAATAACACGTAAAACAAACATAAAACTCGGTATTTTGAAAGGGGGGACTGGAAAAGAGCCGAGCTCTCAAATCGTTTAAAAATTATGATTTTGCCATTCAGAAATATGTCGCAGTATATTTTCATACAAATTTTATGTTTTGTTACTTTGCTACTTCCCTCAGTAGGAAGGAAAGAAGGACGATTATGGCATAAGGTAGGGCGGAAACCCCGTTATATGGCCATATATTTTGCGGAACCCCTGTCCCTTACAAATTTAAGGTAGAAACTTAAAAAAAAAGCCAAAATTGAGTTTTTATGACAAATAAGTTAATCCAATTATGGTTGTTAAACCGTAAAATAAGTTGAAGCGAGCATATTTCTTGATAGATATACACAATATAATAGTTACCAGGGGCGGATCTAGGATTTTCTCGAGGGGGGGGGGTGGATTTTCAAAAATTTTGTCGACCTTTTTTTTTTTAGGTCGACCGAACTTATTTTCCGAGCTCTCCCAATCTCAAAGCGCTAAAAAGACTGTTTTGGTCAAAGTGTCTGCGCAGCAGGCAAAATTTTGAAAAACAGGGCAAAAACCGTAATTTAATTTCAGGTATAATTTGTAGGTATAGGATGGGAATATGGTTATCGGAAATTACGAGCTGGATAAAACTCAGGTGTGGTATCAAAGCTCACTGGAATAAAAACTGAGCTGACGCTGTGCTCAAATAGCTGTTAATTATTGTGTAGTTCTAAGATGGTTCTAATGTCGAATAACTTAAGAGGCCAATGTTTATGGAAAATTTCATCTGAAACACATGAAATAATAATTAAAAAAACCCTTTTTTTGGCATAATTGACACTGGGGCAAAGCGAAGATTCACTTCACTTATGACCACTAGAAATCATTATAAGGACTAGATTTGAATAAAGTATCAAGAACTAGCTCTACTATTACTCAAAACACTAGACGCGAAAAAGAATGCAACGACTCTTAGAATGCAGAAGAATACTTGCGGCATATCTTAATGTAGCAGGGAAAACAAGCTGACCCAAAATGATGTAGGTTCCGCTAAGTCGTAAAAAAAATTGAAAACTTTCAGCTTTTTCTCGATTTGTATTGAACCGAGAGTAATTTGAAGAAAAAAAAACTTGTCAAAATAATTACATGATTAACTTATTAAATAGTGTCTTTTTAGAGAGACATGTACTCCGAGGGGTAGCCGTGTGTGACCACCAATGGTATACATTATTGGAGCCAGCTGTCTTCATAAACTGACACAATCACTGACGTACAATAACAGGAAAAAATTCAAAGCCCAATCAACCCAACCTCTATCAGCGGACTTTCCTTGAACCTCAACGCCAGGAATCCCCTCAAGGTAGTCCAGAATTTGTTCAAAAATCAAGGCGTACTTCGACAACGCAAAGATATTATCATCTGGCACGATATTATCAATAATAGCATCACCGCCCACTCAGGCAACTATTGTCCAATCCGAGACATATACCGACCCCTTAGACTATCGAAAACCTCAAGAAAAAATACAGTATTGAAGCAGTTGTGTACACCCGAAGGCAAGGGACTCCAGATCTCTCAATCGCTTTGAGAGATAGTGGAATTCTGATCCTAGAAGTACGGAAAAATCTGCTCCTGAGAAAAGAAAAAAGAAATCCCGAGCTTCTATACGAACTTACCCGAATCCACCCCCAAACAGCAATTGACCATTAACTGGTTTCAAGAGTTCTGCGCAACAGTCATAACTTACGTGGACTTATTCGCAAGAAACGATCAAAGAAGAAGATAAACAAAGCACAGAAAGACAGACAAAAAAAGAGAGGGGAAACCAGTCGAAAGAAAAACCAGGAAGAGAAGGAAAGCCAAGAAAACCTGAGTAGGAGTAAATTTTTCTCTTTTTCCTGTGAATCCGGAGGTGGAAAACCTTGGAATCGCGGAATACAATAGAAGTTTGTTTGTGCTTACTCACATCCTGTTTGGGCCAGTGAATCTAGAGGTTAAAAACCTTGGAATCGCGGTTCTAAGCAGCAGTTTTCTCTTCTTCTAGACCCAGCGAATCCGGAGGTGAAAAACCTTGGAGTCGCGGTTGTGAAAAATCTATTTTTTCGAGACATTTTCAATCAAACCCAGTGAATCCGGAGGTGAACAACCTTGGAATTGCGGGATTGAGCGGAAACGCCTCCTCTTTCCTCTATCGAAAATTGCAAAACTTGCACCAGAACTATTGGTAAACGTGAAGCCACCTTCTTTTGTACAGCATGCGGCGATACAATGCACATGACCACAGCGTGTACAGGCATGTCCCATGAAGCCATAATGGGCATCCAAGAAGTTAGTCAGAACGAGCTCCTCTTGTGCAGCAAATGTGTACAGATGAACAAACGCGACAGCATAATTGATAGACTCGCAAGCAGTAAAGAACAGCAAAAGCTACAAGAAAAGGAACTCACAATGAAAGAGACTGTTGACGCAATCAAGGAAAAACTCGAACAGTTCGGAGATATACGAAGTCAACTAGAAAGCCTACAATCTGAAGTGAAAAAACAGGTCACGACCTTCGCTGAAAAAGTGAAAGAAAAACCCACAAAAGCAACAACTACTCCCAAAAAGGAAAGTTATGATGGAATAAGACTTCGAGGAATACCTGAACCAAATGGGACGAGCGCCCGGTAGCGACTAGAGAAAAACGTAGACGAAGTTAAGAAAATCGTTGATTTCTTGGAAATAGATTGCGTGATTGAAGATGCAAAACGGGTGGGCAATTATGACCAACCAAAAATCAGAACTCTTGTGGTAAAGCTTGTCAATGAACACCATCGTCGACTCATACTACTATCAGTCAGCAAACTGGCTTCATATACAAAAGAAGTATATATGAGCAAAGAATTGAACCCGGATGAACAAAAACTAGAAAACAATGCCCTCAAACTGAGACGACATCTAATTCAGAAAGAAAATATAAGCTCGAAAGATCTTCGAATCCGGAACTTAAAGCTACAGAAAAAAGAAAGCGATCAATGGCAAAATGTTGAAATTGTAGACACTAAAGCAAGCAATAAATGACTATACACTGACTCAAACAGAAAATTAAAACTCTTAAACTTCAATGTTAGGAGCAAACTGGAACTAGACAGGAGAATGAAATTGGCAAACGCGATAACCACACGCGACTATGACATTATATGCATAACCGAAACATGGCTCACTCGAGAAGTTCCAGATGAGGCCTTGTTTTTTCCTAACTAGAATATTTACAGAAGGGATCGTGAAAATATCTCATTATCCTCAAATCATGGCGGAGTGCTAATTGCTATCCGCGGGTTAGCTCACAAACGAATACTTATGGAAACTAAATTTGAGTGCGTCATAGTACAAGTCTACAACTCAAGCGACTCAATACTGAAATGCTGTGTATACAATCCACCCAAGCAGAGTTCCTATCGAATGCCTACACAGGATTTTAGAATTACTCTTGAAACCCTTGACAAAATTAAAACCGCTCAAAACTGCAGCAACATTATCATCACTGGCGATATAAACTTGCAAGAAACAACATGAGAAGGTTTATCCTCTGAAGACGAGTATGAATCGGCGCTACTAGAAAAACTGGAGGACGAGCTTCTACCAAGCATTACCAAATAGAAATGGAAGAAATCTAGACAATTTTTTTTACCCAACTAGCAAAAAACCCTTGAACTCTCATGTATCGATAGCGAAATTGAAACAAACTTCTCCACATCTGGAAAAAAGTGCTCTGACCACTTCTCATTCCGGACAGTGTTTTCGTTTGAATTTAAACCAATCAGGCCGTCACCCAAGAAAATGTTTGCTTTCAAAAAAGCTAACTGGGAGCAAACGAACATGTACATATCAGAACATCCATTCATTCCATACTGCTTTAGCAATATTGATGAACTAGTGAAACAATGGTACATATGGTTACAAAAAATTATTGACGAAAAAGTACCAAGAGTCATGGCATATCGATCAAGCTTACCACCCTGGATCAGCCCATCCACATCACAAATAATTAAGAAAATTGCCACCATGAGAAAGAAACACGAAAAAACCGGAAAACTGGCCGTGCTTATCAAAATAAAGAAAAATGAAAGGAACCTCAGAAACGAGATGTTGAACGACTAAACTATTTACGAAGAAAAAATTTTTTCAAGCAGAAGAAAGTCTTTTCTGTAGAAATATCTAAAACCGCTGCAAAAAATCAAACAGTTCCCAGATGAGATGTATTTCAAACAAGGTGAAGACAAATCCACGATAGCTCGCGATAACAGTCAGAAATGCGAACTGTTCAACCAACTCTTCTCAAGTGTATTTACACCATCCCAAAATATAAACATCAAAGATTGCAAAAAGTCAGCCCTGAATACAGTGCTGGTGACAGAAGAAGTAATAAACAAAATCCTATTAGGTTTAGATGTGAACAAAGCCTGCGGACCCGACAACATCGGTAACATCTTCCTGAAAAACCTTCCACGTTTCTCAAAAGGAATGGAAAATTATTGAAGTTACACCTATTTTCAAGGAAAATGACAAAACTGAAGTTACTCAATACAGGCCGATAAGCCTACTAGCCAACGTTTCAAAAACTTTTGAGAAACTTATCTTCAATCAAATGTATCTCCACTTCGAGCCTAGTTTCCATCGCGCTCAATACGGCTTTATGCACAAGAAATGGGCAGTACTGCAACTCCTAATCTTCGTTGATAACATTTCTAAAAAGATTGACCAAAATAAATCCAGTGACATCAGCTTTCTCTACGTTGACTTCAACAAAGCCTTCGACAAAGTGTCTCAGCTGAAACTTGTTGAAAAAAATCTAGCCTTGGCATCGGAGGGAAACTCCTGGAATTAATCGTAGGCTACCTAACAGAGAGGAAACAGAGTTGAAATTGGATGTTATAAGTCATCCATTTCTCAATGCACTAGCGGTGTTCCCCAAGGTTCTATCCTTGGACCATTAATGTTCCTGGTATATGTGAACGACCTTCCTGATGGCCAGATGGAATAGTACACGGAGAAGCCTTCGGTTATGCGGATGATTTTAAATTGGTGACCACATCTTTAAGCAACGCAAAAAAGGCGGCTTCACAAATAGAAAAATGGAGCTTCGAAAAAGATGATTCTCAATGTTGACAAAACCAACATACTGTGCATAAAAGGAGAGACATAAACAAACGGACGATTTAAAACCGTCACATCACAGAAAGATCTCGGAGACACCATGTCTAACAATTTATCCTGGAGTGAAAACTGTAGTAGGTGAACACTTAAAGGCTGGAGGTCTTTATACTTCCTCATCAGAAATACTTCGAAAAATGCATCGCTAGAGACAAAACTGAATGCCTACGCAGAATATGTAGTACCAGTGCTTACTTACGCATCGCAGGTATGGTACCCCTCAAAAACTGAAATGAGGAAGATGAAGCAAGTACAGAGGAAAGCCACCAAATGGATAACCAACGGGGCTGCAGATTATAAAGAAAGACTTCTCCGCTTGAAAATATTACCTCTATCAATGTACATGGAAGTCCATGATATTCTATACCTCATCTCTGTGGTAGAAGGAAACTATGAGGCTAAAAACATGCCAGTGACAAAGAGCCGTGGACGGCTTACAAGACAGCAGACCGAACTATATATCCCCCAACAGCGCCTCAAGAAATGCGACGAAAACTTCTGGATCCGTGCACCAAAACTGTTAAATTTAGTGCAAAGAAGCCTGTTTGCAAATGAAATCATCAACAAAAAAAGAATCGCCAAACTATACCACGCATTCTTCCGTGACAGATTCAACGAGATTGACTCTTACTCGTGGAGAGTGCTATGCCCATGTGGAAACTGTAATCCCTTGAAAAAACTCGTGCTACTTGAATACTGAGGGGTGAAAACTCTAAAGCAGATGCTCTAAATCCTATACTACTACTACTACATCTAAAAGGATGGAAGAAAATTTACCAAATGGTAACAAAGCCGACAATGCTTGAGCTTACACCCAATGATCCGGGAAAAAAAAACTTTCTATGGTACCCACTCAATAAATACACGCAACACAAGAATCTTATATTGCTGAAATTTTCCCCTTTTTTCGCTTCAATTTTTTTCCTCTTTAAATCATTAAATCTTATTTTTTGATTTCTTGATTAACTATCGATATTAAAAAATAACAGAAGTCATGCAGGATCAGAGACGCCTGAAAACGGGCTGCATAGTTCCACGGCGTTATCGCAATGAGATTTCGTTTGGTTGTAAATGTAGTAACTTTTACAATGAAAAGAATCTAATTTGCAAACAGTTTAATATAATATTATTATTGTTATAAATCTTTCACTCAGAAAACGACGCAAACGCCACTAAGCTGATATAACATCAACTGAAACTTTTAAAACCGAAAAAAATCGCCAATTTAATTTAAAAACACCCAATTTCATCGCCGATTTAATTTAGAGTTTCAACAAATCAACACATCAAATTCGGGTCCTTACAATTATAGTGAAACTCCGATTCAATTCACAATTTCAGAATTCACAACCCAAAACAAAATTGGTGAGCTCCTATTTTAAATAACTTTGGAGCCAAAGAGCGTCCGAAAAATTACTCGAAACTCAAGAAAGAACTGACATTGTCTTCTCTCTATGCTGCTTCGCTATATCTTCATTCGACACAAACTTTTTTGACCATAGAAAAGAAAGATAGCAGGTCAATTAAGTTCGAAACAATTTGTCTCCGCATTTCATTTCTAACAGATTTGGGGCAAAAGAACTTTTTTACATTACTCGAAATTGAATTAACAAACTATCTGTCTTCTCTCTGCACTTTCTTCATTCTATACTGCTTCGTTAGTTTGAACGTTAGAAAAAGCTCAGTTAGTTTTTTTTGGTGCGAAACAGTTCTTTAAAAAAGTAGTCGAAACTGAAGAATGAACTCACTGTCTTCTCTCTGGCCTGACTCATGTACTGTCATCCACAGACTATCTGCTAGAGTGTGTCTCCCCAAGTAGAATCTGTCCACATTCACAATACTAATAGAGTGGAAGGTCATCGTGAATGCAGGCATGCAGTCCTTCACCTAAACCAACCAACCTCACAACTGAAACTCACTTCAAAAACAGCTCTTCGCTCCTTTTCCTAACAACCCCCACCCCACAACAACCCTCTACTTAGCACCAATTTTATGGTAATATTAACGACTAGTTCTACAAGGTTACGTATGAAGATTTCCATTTTTTCCAAAGTCTGGGGGTACTGTAATGCTAGGGACAAAAAAACGAGAGACGGAGCAGAGGTACACAAATAAAATTGTTTATGCTTTTTCATCTGGGTTTAAATTTGAGCGCAGTCGCAAGAAACTTACTGAATTTTAGTTTCAAAACAGTTCTCAATTTCAAAATGATGTCAATAGGAAAATTTGTATCTTGCTAACTATTTCCTAATGGTACTTATTATAGACTCCCTATAATTTTCATCCCCATAAAGGACAAATTCAACGGTAAAATTAAACAATAATACCAATTTTGTACCTCGTTCCGCACTCAGCTAGATCATAGCTCACTAGATCATAGCTCGTAAAAGTATTTAGCATAGATTGTTTCAAAATCAATCATAAAAGCAAAATCCTTTCTAGACTTCTTTGAAAAAGTGGCTTCGCGGTTTAATATAGCACCAGCTTGTGTAATAAAATCATTCATTTATCTGTTCACAACATCGACATGATTGCACGCACCTGTTGCTTAGTGGGCATGCCCTGGTCACAGTTGTAGTGGTTGAATGCAACAGGGACCACGAGATACATACCCGGCTCATATAGATGACTCACGCTCACAAAAGATCTGAAAGGAAACAAGATCCTTAAAATTGAGAAAAATTATCCTCATAGCAATAATCATAGCCAACAGAAGTTCTAACAAAAAAAAACTGTTTCTTTAAAATAATAATGAAAACTGTTTTTCAAGATGAAGCAAAAAGTCAATATTTTGAGATCTATGCTATCCTAAGACTGAATGGCAATCAAAAACATCTGCAAACCCTTTCAAAACCAGATTAAGGGCTGATAGTTCCATCTCTAAATGAGCGTAATAATAAAATTGATAGCAATAACCATAATAATTCTTAGTTATCAGAGTTGATTATCAAAAAGGACTCGTGTGATCTCTTCTGCTCATAATTGGATACAGATTTCACATTATTACCTTGTCAGATTTAACGAAATGTACCTAAAACTAACTTTAACTGTCGTTTACTGTGTGCTGTATGTCTGATCGGAGCCAATGTCTTATCATTACATCTTATAACCAGCACTCCCAGATCCAGACATCTAGTCTGGTTCCTCTGTCTGTTATTCTTCTGGAAAACAGTCACTACCACTTCTGTAGGTGCAAACACTGTCAGGACTCCCATATGTTGAAGAGTAGTAGCCACAGATGGCAAAGCGCCATTAGTCTTGGCTAGATTCCAGTCGTGATTCAATCTACACAAGTCAACGCTATCGTAGAACTTGATAAAATCAATGTAGTCCATCCAAAACACACCTTCACCGTTGCCATAACCACTCAATTCATCTCTCAAACCACTTTCACGCATTTCTCTGGATTCATCCGACCAGGCGCCTTTCCACGAAAATCTTCCCCAGGGATTACGTAACCTCACCAAACGTCTGCTATTTGCTAACCGGACGTCTAATACTGAGTAAGCATGTCGCGACAGCAGACCCCGATCATTATACTGTTGCTTGTCCGTTTCCATGTGGCCTCCACCACAAGAAGCAGCCATGATATGACCAGCTTGACTTGCACTGATCATTTGACCCCAAATCAACTCGTGATCCGGATCGTCTTCATATTTTATCTTCTGCAAATTGATAGTCTCACAGGGCGCACCGGTTAGAATAGACAATCCTTCCAGGCACTTTCCCGCAACTAATGCTTCGTAGCATCCGAACAATTTGGCACATGCTTTCTCAACTAGCGGGACCCATAGCTGACGTCTTCTACAGTCGGAATAAACTAGACGGCCGTTTTTTCCACATGGGAGCATATCATCGACAGTCACCAGCATCCAAGTTCCTTCTCTGCACAGCCTCACTTGATAAACGCCAGTCGGACAGTATTCATTAAGAGGAAACATTTGCTCCAAGAAACTGGGTTTCTCCGCCAGCACAGCCAGAGAGCTGAGGAGCCAACAGTTTCCCAGCAGACCCTGTATGATGTCAGATCCTTTTGGGTTCCTGAAGATAGTCCAATCCAGCTGGCATCTTGATGGCTCTTTGAACTCGCCTGGACGTAGCCATTGGTACACCTTCTCGTCTTTACTACAAATGAAAGCAACAAAGCTTCAATATCTATCTTTCAATCAAAAATTCAGAAAACTTTCGAGACAATGCTACACTGCGGACTTAGAGCTGACTCGATATCAAATTATCAATTAATAGGTAGCTGCTTCATTTTTATTCCGAATTGCAATTTGATGTCGCAATTCACGCATCATTTTGCGTAACTCTTCCTAATATCTGTCGCACAGTAAAATTTACACATCTCCCTTGCCTCTAAATCAAGTACGCACTTCGCTTGCCTTTAAATCGAATAGAGAAATTGACAGCCAGTTTGACATTTACCTCTGGGACTCGTGTTGTCTCGATGTGCGCATGGGGTGGACCCCGTTGAAGTAAAGGCTCTTGGGCGTAGGGGGGAAAGAGTCATCGACGAAAGTAGTCTTGGCTAATTTGCACATTTTAATGATTGCACTGATGTCTTGTTGGGCATTTCTCACGTCTTTGCTCCTCCATTCACTTCCCAGTATGCTAGTCTGTCTTTCCAACCGCGGAGTACCCGATCTCCCTGTTTAAATTAGAGTTTCACTAGCTAGGTTCAAAATACCTCTTTTAAACCCCTCAGAGCAAGCATAATCAGAAATTTTGATAAATTCACTGGCAAGAAAAATCAAAGTAACGTAGTTGGGGAACTTCGTGAGTTACTTATTTGTAGCTGCCAAAACCATTTATTGTTTCGATCATTGAAAATGAGGAACTTTGTCTCCGGGTAAGTTTTAGCTTTTTTTTCTAGATTTTCTACGCACAATCAGGTACCACAAATAATAATCAGAAGGGGCTGAGCGTTTTATTGTGCTAAAGCTATTTCAGTCGTTATTCGGACGTAATTGCAAATATTTTCCCAGTGTCGAGAAAAGAAAAAAAAACAGTTTAAAATTTCCGAGCGCGAGCAGGTCTTGTAATTTGCTTATTACAGCTTATATTTCGACTTAAGCCGTGAGAATTTGATTTTACTCGATTCTGTACCGCCTTTTTCCGAGAAAAAATTTTAAATTTGGAAGTAAATATACCAGCAATTTTAAAGGTTACGAAGTGTGAAGTAACTGAAGTGTAACCCCATCGACAATAAACCAAAACACCACCACCCACCATCAATTTCTGAACATCTGGAGGTGATGGTCTTTTTGAACTGTTCATTAATTTTTGAAAACACCGAAATACTTGCCAGGTGACTTTGATCGATTCCTTGATCGGCTCATGATTCTCCAGTCCCTTTTTTATGTTATATCTTCTAGACAGCCTACTCTGAGCAGAGTAAACCTCATCTGAAAATGTAGAGAAAACTTATAGGGATGAAGAGTCTTTATTAAACTAAGTGCAAAACTGTTTTTAACACAGAGGTGGGTGGCGGTTCTCTTCACGTTTACAAATATACTGTACAAAGAGATAATTGTAGGGACTAAGCTGAGCTTCGCACCACTTGCGATACGGAAAAACCACCGAATAAACGAAATGAAAAAATACCAAAAAACGACATTTTCCTGTGTTTGTCTCAAATGTAACTCAATTTGATGAAAACCTGCGGCAAAACACAATGGCCAGCGTTCAATCAGCATTTAAAAAAATTACCGCGTGGTAACTATGCAGACAGCAAAAACAATTAGAAAAAAGCCAAACGAGGGATTTTTATACAGCAGAAAACTCCGAAAACTGGAATTTTTTTTCAGGTATGAACGAAATCATAAGCAGTCGTCTCAGACATGAAACCCAAGATGAAATAGAATGTCATTGAAGGAAGTCTTCCAAATTGAATGACATGAGGACTCGGTTCTCTAGCGTGCTGAGTAAAAACATTGGAAGTTTCTATGGCGTAAGGATCCAAGCGTCAGCTGAGGCCTTCGACCTCGTTTCAATACCTCTGAGACACGTTACACAAAATCAAGTGGCGGCGAGGCCTAGCCAGGTTAATCAGCCAGCTACACTAGTGGACAAAATCAAGCTCAAATTCAGGTTTTTCCTCTCTAAAATGACTGTTTCCAATGTCCAATTTGGACAACATTTACTTCGAAATTCAGAAAATTTTTTGTATCGAGCAAGAGCAAATGATCAGAGCTACCCGCTATGACGTTATGAAAATAGGGTTTTAAATACGTATCAATGTAATCGGGGTCTGACGATTTCCACATCTGCACTAAGTTTTTCAATCCGCGTGAAAAAGTGAGAAACAGTCAACTTGAATAAAAATTTTCACACTTAGTTCAATTTTCTAGCTAAGAATGTTCAAGTCGCCCGAACAACTTTTTACTCCGCTTATATGAGAAAGAGTTCACTACAATGCGAAACTTAAGGCAGACGAGGAAATATGGCATTTTCAGACACGAATTACAATGGTAAGTCTTCAAAACCATATTTTGACACAAAGGCGAAGCTGCGCTTCGCCAAAACTTACGAGAACACTACAAAAAGCAGCTCTATCAAAGGAAATAAGAAAAAGTAGAAATAAGCCCCGAATTAGCAAAAACTCGGCTACTTGTCGGATTCGAATCTGCGACCTAGCAAATTTGAGTCTCGCGCACTAACAACTCAGCCACGGATGCTTAACATCTCCAAAAACTAGCCACCAATAAACGCAGCTACATATGCTAATAAATTGCCAATTCGATGCAGCAAAAGTAGCACCAAATATTTTGACACAAAGGCGAATTTTGACACAAAGGCGAAGCTGCGCTTCGCCAAAACTTACGAGAACACTACAAAAAGCAGCTCTATCAAAGGAAATAAGAAAAAGTAGAAATAAGCCCCGAATTAGCAAAAACTCGGCTACTTGTCGGATTCGAATCTGCGACCTAGCAAATTTGAGTCTCGCGCACTAACAACTCAGCCACGGATGCTTAACATCTCCAAAAACTAGCCACCAATAAACGCAGCTACATATGCTAATAAATTGCCAATTCGATGCAGCAAAAGTAGCACCAAATATTTTGACACAAAGGCGAATTTTGACAAAGGCGAAGCTGCGCTTCGCCAAATCTTACGAGAACACTACAAAAAGCAGCTCTATCAAAGGAAATAAGAAAAAGTAGAAATAAGCCCCGAATTAGCAAAAACTCGGCTACTTGTCCGATTCGAATCTGCGACCTAGCAAATTTGAGTCTCGCGCACTAACAACAGCCACGGATGCTTAACATCTCCAAAAACTAGCCACCAACAAACGCAGCTACATATGCTAATAAATTGCCAATTCGATGCAGCAAAAGTAGCACCAAATACAAAAAGACATAATTTTGCAGGTAATGAATTGGAAAGCATAAAGCAAAATTAAGTATAAATCATGCATTTAATAAAAACTGCGAAATACATTGAGCTGGAAAATTTCTGAAATCAAGCTTTTTATCATTGTACTGCTGTTTGAAACAAATAACTTTTTTCGATTCATTTGATGAATTTAAGATGCATCAGCTGTGTTAACTTAATACTAATCGAATGTCAAAACACATGCAATCTAAAAGCCGTAAAGGTGCCACCAAAATTTTCGACTTAGGTTAAAAAAAGCGAATTATTACAATATTTATTATACTATTATCTCACTTAAATCCACAAGTGTAAACACAGCCAGCAGTAGAATACAAAAACTACCGCAGTCTTCCGATAAGTAGCACTTATGTTTTTATTATTATTCTTAAAATAGATTTAGCCATTAATGGCAAGGGTCGGTGACCCTAAGTTTCATGTTTTTTTTCTATTTCAGTTTTCAGGTGTCAGTGTACATGTATTGATAGTTTAATCTGCAATGTTGCCATCGATACCTCAGCAGGTTGGAAAATTTGCGACTTAGGTTGGAAAAAAAGAAACTCAGTACTAATACACATTGCTTCGCAAGTGTAATAACTTCATAGAGGGTAAAATAAATGTTAAATAAATGAGTTTTGAAATAAATGTCCAAATTAGATATTGAATACAGGCATTTTAAAGAGTAAAAAACCTGAATTTGCGCATAATTCTGTCGACTAGTGTAGTGATGTGACGTTGATTATCCAGTTGGTTTGGCAAAAGAGTGACAAGTCTTTTCACTAGTGCTTAGCAAGTGGGAGCGTCACCCCCCGATTTTGTTAAAACTGTTGGCAAACAGGCGCACTGTAAACTTTGAGCACACGTAACTCCGATAGAGTTGGCATGGTACCGGTACTAGTACATTTGGTACTAGTAAATAAACCAGTACGGTACGGTACCCAAGTTGAGAGGTACTAGTACCTTGCCAACACGGGGGTCATTTTTTAACTAGTTTTCGCTCAGTATTTGCAAAACTATTGAACTACTCGTTGATTGAAAAATTGCTTTTCGCATTTTCAGGGTTTAACTCTGTTGTACTTGATGGTTTCGATAAAAATCAATTATCCAAAATACGACTCCGAATAAATTTTTCCGAAACAAGTTTTTTTAGTCTGAACGAAGTCATTTTTGTGTAACCAGTGTATGTACTAGTACGTACCAGTATGTACGGTATCGTTTTCAGGTGGTACAAGTACATTGCCAACTCTAGACCTTGACTTCCTTTGTAACATTCGTCTACTGCAGTCACACATGAGGCTTAAGAAAAATAGGCCCTATAACCACTGGCTCAAGGGTCAGGGACACTATCTCTTGTGTTTTTCTACCTCAAGAACGGTCGGAGCCAGTTCGGTTCGCTTGTGACATGAGACTACGACCCGTTACAGCTTAAAGGCTACTACTAAAATATCCCCCCACTCTAGAATTAGAAACGTCCCCATACTTAGGTCTCTAGATACCCAAAATACATGAACGCCGTTAAAAACCGGGTTGGAACAATCCGTTAAGTTACTTTTTATTAGACAGTGGAACTTTGATCCATTTCAGATGGATCAACCTAAAACTCGCCTTACCTCAACATAACAATCGTAAAACACACTCTAGAAATTTAAATTAAGGACGCACATGTTGATGCGCTCAAGCACAGGAAGTAATTAAATAGGTGAGCAACTCTAGAATTAACTAAGGTAACTAGATAAGTTCAATGTTTATCAGTTTGAATGGTAAGGGTAAGTTTGAACTCCAGAACGAAGTTTTATGTGGACCATTGGGACACTCAAGCTGTCCACCTTTCCGTCGAAGGTTCACTCTGGTCCAGTTCGAATAATTACTCTCTCGGGAATACTCTGTCTTCTATCTCAGATAGGACAGCTCTACTCTTGTTCACTATGATGGAAATTGCGAATAGCAATTTCCCACTCGTTTTTATCTGACAACTTTCCCGCAATTGCTCTAAAATTGTTCTCTTTTCTTTTTCTGATTTTCAGTTCTCGCGAGAAAATCGTGCATGACATGTTCCATTCGAAATTTTAAAAATTTAAATTTCACTCCAAAATCAAGTGTTTTCTGCTCTTCTCAAGGTCAAACTTCCAAATATGACCGACTGGCACATACTCCCCGGACTCGAGATCGATGTCCTCATCGCGCGCTGTCTTCTGCCGGTGAGTCCCAGAAAAACCGAGTGTTGCTCAAGATACAGTGCCAGTGGTCATTTACAGAAGTTTGCAGCAGATTTAAGATTATCTGCACCCCAAAATTCACGACCATTTAAAATTTTCACACTATTGCTAAACAGCAACCAAAATCTGCATTTACCTGCACCTTTGAATTTTCGCTTTTCAAGCCAATCATTTAAAAATCTCTTTTGTCCTATTCAATCAGGAAATTGTCATGCAGCATTTTGATTTATATAATAGATATAGTATATTAGTAACAATATTTGCTTTGTTAAAATTTCTTTTTCGTGAATCCAAGTTTCACTCGGATTCACACTCAAGCCCCCTTTCCCTCTCAAGACTCAAGATCCATCCGATTTGCCCATTCATCTCGTACTCTTCGCCTTGGAGGTACTGCATCCTGAAGTGCTAGATGCGGCAAACTGTCTCAACAGTTCCTCTTCATCATCGGAACTAATCACAATCTCCTCCCAAGCCTTCAGCTGTTCATAGGATCGCATCCATTCTCTCTGCTCCTGCAATCTCTTTGCTTGGTTGGGTAGTGCCTTCACCCTAGCTTCTCGGTTCAAGCAAAAGGAGTTGTGCAGGCTCAAGCTCACGTTCTTCGCCAGGTCTTCCTCTAGTATCGACTCCCTCGCTTTGGTGTTGTCTCTAGACATCTTACCCACTCTCTTCCATCCCGTCGTGATCGCATTACGATGGGTTAGCAGGGGTCTCTTGAAAGCTTCCGGCCCAATCTCGGCCTGGAACTGTCGATACTCCTTTTGATGTTTTCTCATGTGATCTTTCGTTGCCCTGTACAACCAAGACGTCAGTGTCGCCC